TTTTTTTTTTTTTTTTTTTTTCCTTTTCCATGCAGGAAGTTGTCGAAGCATAAATTTGGTTAAGAAAACAAGTCTTGCATCGCCACTCCAGGACTGACTTTGTTACAGGATTGACATTGAAAAAACATCAATTCTCTGACATTTTACAGCATGATTGGGGAGTTTGTAATTAGGTTTCATTTTTAATTATAGAAAGTTTTCAGAATTAAAGAATATACAATGTGTCCTGGGGCTAGCTGCATATTTTCCTATTGAATTACCTCTAATTCAGCCACTGAAATGCAAGGAGAGAGCACTTGCACATAACAACACAAAATGTCTGTCTCAGTCTGTCGTTCATTTGGCTCTGCTCCACAGAACAAGTACTTTTCATTCAGGTGTGTTTATGATGAGTAAACTTGACCAGATGTTAGGTCTCCTTTGTATTTTAAAGTGTTTTATGGCCCACATTAGTCAGCTGCAAAGGGCAGATCATTTATATTCCCCTGGACTTCTTTTCAGGTTCAAGCTCCCCCAGAGGAGCACGGGACTATATGAAAATATATAGAAGGCAGAAATGAACTATTGCAAATGTAACAATGTGCAGCACAGCACTGAATAAATTGCTTTGATTTACAGGATGGTTTCTGTAAATACTGAATGCTATGAACCTACAGATCCACTCCCTTACCCACAAGGGAGATCAGAGCAATAATTGAAAGCTTTTTCTTTTCCTTGTAGGAGCAGTCCTGATGGTGCACACAGGTGAGAAAAGAGCTGTTGGCTTTTCACACACACTAACACACCAAAATTCCCATACTTGAAGGCTCACCCCTCTAGAAGTCATTATTAAAGGATATTAAAACACATATCTCAAAGGGGTTCAGTCCTGTAGGGGTACAGAATAAATTGCTGATATCCCAAAAGCAGTTCTGGGATTTCCGCACAACACACACAAAAAAAAATAAGCTACAATTTTTAAAGGAATTTTGACATCCAGGTGCTCTAAAAAATGATTGGCAGACCTGAAATCTCATTTTTGCTGCTGAGCTTGGAGCCCTCCCTTCAATGGCCAGCACAAGTGAGACCAGAATGTGCCCAGGACCACGGAGGGGAAATGCAAAGGCTTCACCCCAAATCAGTTTAACCTGGGTGCTGCATCTCACATCATGAGCTCCATGCTGCTCCAATGTAAAGCACATTTCCGTCATCAGCAACAAGGTGTTTTTTACTACCTTGCTGTGAAAACTAAGCTGAAAATACAACATTTCAATTATTTTTCTCATTGAAGCTGCTGGCACCCGTGATCAATTCAGATCCCTTTGTGCCTCGGTGCCTGAGAAATCACACATTTTGTGGGATTAATATTTAATTATTGCTGCTGGAATTTCTGCAGTTCTGTGGCTGGAGAGGAACTTTCTACCCTCCAAATAATTTGCATTTTAGACATTTCATTTTACAAACAGGAGTAGAGCTTTAAAAGGCTCCCTTTGAAGTTAAAAGAAACAGCAATCTTAATTTTGCTTGATGCATGCAAACCACTGACAAAGTAGCCTTTAAAAGAGCCCCACTGGTAAGAGGCAAATCCTCCCTCCACATCATTTGAGAGAGCTTTGTTTTCCCAGAGTTTTTTCTAGAAACATAAATCAATGTTCCCCTCACCTCAGCTGGGACCAGGAAAAGCAGATATTCACAATAATCTGTTGAGAAGAAATTTACCTCCATTCCAACCACTTGGATCGACCAATAAAGCAAAATGCAACACAAATAAGGCATAATGGTTTATAAATTAATTTACACAAATTATATAGCTGTTGAAAGAGAAATCAAATTAATGGAATATTAATCTCTAAGGCAATAATAGCAGATGTTCAAGGTATTAGGGGAAAATCTTATTTAATTCAGGTAAATCAGATTTATTTGTAAGCATCTCTGGGTATCTACATGGGCAGCATGACTTTGTTGAGGTAAGACACGGATGCTCTGGTATGTTTGATATTTTAAATCCTACATCAATCATTATTATCATCATCATTATTATTTTTAGCAGCTAAAACACTAAACATCACAGGAAAGATTCACCTCCAAGGCTACAGTTTTCAGGCTCATTCTAGTATTTTAGCTTTTTATATTACCAACATTATTTTATCACTGATAATGCAATAATAATAGATAAATTTGCAGTGAAGTCATCAGACTGCTACAAATTGTCTTCATGGCGACAGATGACCTTTGAGAGTATTTTATCCAGTAAAAAAATAAAAACAACTCTGTTTCCACAGTCCAAACACTCCAAGAAAAATTTCCACCTTGGCAGCAGTGCAGGTGATGAGATGGGGAAAGATGAAAAAAGATCGGTTTAATTTGAACTATTGCAATAATTGCCACTTCTACAGAAACATTTTGACAATTTGACTCTCAAATTAGGGTTTATTGGTTTTTGGAGTTTTTGTCTGCTGTTCAATTAAAGATTTGCAAATTAAAGGGTTTTTAAAGCTTGGTAGAATCAAGGTAATTACTAGACAAAAAGCAAGAATTAGCATCTTGAGGTGTTTACATAGACACCAAGAACTTTTGAACCTGAGGAGAGTGAGAACAAAGAATTCAGAAATGAGGAGCTAAAACCCATCAAAGAGACAACAAAATGCAGTTGTCCAAGAATCCCATTATTCTCTGGGGGTTTTGAGGTGGTTTAAGGATTTTCAGCTGTTTTCTTATGCAGAAGAATCCTTCCAGGGAGGGTCTTCCCACCAGCACTGACAAGAGTCCTTCACCCTTTCAGGTGTTCCAAGGCTGGGAAGCTCAAATCCATCAGAAAAATAGTGGCAAAGACCAAGAACTGAAGAAAAGCAATTTCTGACCTAATTCAGGCATCTTGAGAAGACTTTACCAGTAACCAGAGATTTATCTATCTCCATAAAATCCCCTCTAGACATTTGTGAGCTGCTGTCATCCACCACATCCATGGTGCCCCTACCCAAAATAACCAAAATAACCTTTTTTTTCCATTCTGCCACCTTTGAATCTCAACCTCAGGCCTCCTAACTTTGGTAAACATGTCATAACATTCTTCTCCTTTGTTTCTTTTTTTCCTCTTTGTCCAAAGAGGGAGTAAATCTCCCTTAATTTTCTCCAGTTTGCATGAGGTTTTGAGATTTATGGTTGCTATTAAATGTAACAAAGGCAACCTGGCAAAAGGTCCACCAATCTGCATGATGGAGCTGTAACAACTGAGAACACATTATTATTATTTGGCTTTTAATATTATAATTTTATTAACTTAGAGAACACGCTTTGAAATCATGCCAGGAATTCACATTAAATCCCTGAAATGAATAAAATGAGTGAGACAGAGACGTGGCTCTTAAGCAGCTCTGTTGTAACCTCAAGATGAAAGCACAGAAACCTTGGACCCTTCTGAGACTTCTTGCCTCCAGCCTGTGTGTGAAGGATTATGAGGAATAAAGCTTTTCTTATTCCCACTGGTCCAGAAGTTGTTGGGAAGGGAGGATAACTTGTGATGTGGTTCAGCACAAAGGAGATGACTGCAGGTCATTTTTAGGTCGTGGACTGGCTGAGGTAGTCTCATGTTCATTAGAGGGATAACTCAGAGATAATGTAGATAATATGAGAACAGAGTGAAGCTTATCCCTGGAATTTATTAGGGACATTTGCAAAAAAAGCAGTGCCAAGGGAAGCTACCAGACCCAGCAGCTTCAGAGACTGAGATGCTCTGTTAGAATTATAAACCCCAGGTTTTTTGGTGATTGACTGAGTAAAATAAAAGTACCACAGTGTAGCAGAAGGTGCACTAGAATATCCTGTATCAACACTTTCCAGACATTTTTTGTTTGTCAGGAAGGCAGGGAACATCTGCTGGATTAAGGCCATTCTGCTCCAAGGGAGCTGAACTGTGCAAGTTTCACAGATCTTCCTCTTGCTGTGGCTGCTCTAACTCATTCTCAGTCCTGCCAAATGATGTGTCACAGGTATTGCTGACAGTGCTGGATGGCACAAACCTGGTTTCTGCTGAGTCCTGAGGGTGCACTGCCACCTTCTCTGCAGGAAACTTGGGAACTTGGACAGGTCACACTGAAGATCACTCTAAATTCCTTCCCGTGGAACCCAACCTGTTCTAAAAACCAGGTTGGTTTTCCTCTGGGTGCTGATGGAGTCAGGACACACCAAGATGGTGTGAGTCTACTGATCTCAGCAGCCAGAAGAGTCCTCCTCAAGAAGAGCTCAGATTTGCAGCAAACTAAATTAGGTGGTAAATTCCAAAATGAATTAGCAAATGAATTTCTTAGCCTGGAATGTGCACACCAACACCTGGCATTTCCACAGTGTTCAGTACTCCAGCTCCACAAAAGCTGAAACCATCCAGGTTTGCACTGTTCCTTTTAGTTATTTCACTTCATATTCATTTGCAGTGTGCCACAGACACTGTGGCATCTGTCACCAAAGCAGAACAGCCAAGCACAGCTTTTACTCCTATTAGATATTTCCAACATGTACTGGGCTGTGTGAACAAGAGTGCTAATTTGTGATGTAAACTGAAGTGAACGTTAACATATGTGGAAAAGCCCAAATCCTTAAGTGCATCTATGAATGGATCAAAACAGAAAAGGAAAAAAAAAAGATATTCTGCCTGCTTCTCCTGAGAAATGCTGACACAGAATTAGTGACCCTCAGGTGGCTCTGCTGGGACATCATTGTCTCACAGGGGACACCAGGAATAGCCCAGCCATGAATAAAGAGCGTGTGTGTTTTCCCAGCAGTGTCTCCTGGGAAACATTTACAGAAAAGAAAAATATTTATTAAATATTTACAGATTAAAAATAGATGAATTGATTAAAACAGCAATTATTTCCCTCCCAGGCTGGTGTAGGGATTTCCCCCTGTTTTGCACACACACAGTGGGTTGATGTCTGAGCAGACAGTACCACTGTGATCACAGTTACATATATTTTCCAAACACTCAGCAGTAATAAGTCCTAAACTTCTGGTCATACTTTCCAGGAAAATTAGGTCCTAAATATTGGATCATACTTTCTAAGAAAACCAGGGACAAAATGGGAGGTTGTCAGTAGCTACACTGGCTTCAGTGTTTTATTCCAGCAGTTTGAAACTCTTCCTTTGAACCCCACAAAAATGAAAAAGCACAGCTGATATTTTTATGGGAGTTAGTTTTGGGGTAGGTCTACAATATTATCTCTAAAGTAACGTTATGGAAAGACAAACTTTTAATAATTGTTTATAAAAGCAAATTCTGTAAATATAAAAGTCAGGAGAAAATCTGTGAATACCCAGATCTGGCACTGTGGGATTAAAGGTTGGTCTTGATGATCTTACAGGTCTTTTCCAACCTTAATGATCCCATAATTTTGACACCAATTTTAACCACTGTCAGTTTGCCATTCATTTGGAGTGTAAATAAAACCCACATCCTACAGATCCTATTTGTACTCTACCCTTTTACAGCAGACTTTTAATTTGTGTGTGATCATTAATTTTTAAGTGTTCTCTAATGAAATACATCCTTGTCCAAAGTTAATAAATGGATTAATAGCTGGGATAATGAGAATTCTGGCAAGACAAGAAAATACCAGGAGGGGGAAAGAAGAAGGGGGAACCTGACAAGTTAATGATCCATTAAAGTAAATCCTGGGTCAGTTTGGATCCTGCACGGTTCATTACTGTATAATAAATTAAATTAATAGCCATGAAAACCTAGGCTGAGGCAAGAGTGGTTTTGGTTAAACTCTGGGTAGATATTTGAGCTGTTTCTTACAGGTTTTCAGTTGTCTCTTATTAAAAGGAAATTTCTAGTATGAAAAGAATTTAAGTACACTAATGAAAGCCAAGCAGCAGCTGCTAAAACAGTGGCTGGCTGGGAGTGTCACACCAGCAGCCACCTTTGTATGTTCAAGGTAAAATAAATCCACCCAAAATAAAGAAATTAACAAATGGGAATTAGAAGTCCCATTATGCCACTGATTATATTTAAAACAATAGATAATATGGCTTGATACACAAAATATAATTATTTATTGGGAAAATTAGTGCTGGTGTTTAAAGTAGAGAGAAAAGGTGAGTCCTTACTGATGTATGTCCTCCCTGATGAAAGGCACAACTGAGGTGCACACTAATCCTAAATCGAATTCATGCACATCTAACCTGACAGGAGCAGAGATACAATTGCATTGAGATCTATTGTCCTTGCATGCATCTTCAAATTCTCCTCTTTTCTCCAAAACTCCAAGTTCTGGAAATGGTTTCTGGGTTCAGGATCAGAATCACAGAATGAACTAGGTTGGAAAAGACCTTTGAGGTCATCAGGACTCTGACATGTCCTGAGCTGTCATCAGCAAACACCCACTACAGGTGTACTGCTGACACAGAAAAGTTCAATCAAAACTAAAATCAGTTGATGAACTAAACTAGTTAATCAACACAAAAATAATGTTTTTTTTTTTACAGCTCTAGATTGTTCTCATGGACATTTAGTTAACATTATTAAAGCCTTGCTTGGTTAAACTCACTTTCTTCCCACGACCACATTAAATTATTGATGTATTTCCAAGTCAGGGTGCTTTCCCTCTGCAGCAGATTAAAGCCTTACCCAGAAACAGTCTGTAAAAATTCTCTAAAAAGAGATAACCAATGTGACCTTGAAAATGTGGAGCATATAGAAATTTAACATAATGGATCTGTTACCCAGACACAGAGCAGGGGTGGAAGCCAGCAAAGGGTACAGTAATGAGGACCTATTTTTAAACATCCAACTTTTCATTTAGGAGATGCTGCTTGGCATGAACCTAAAAAGGTTCAGTTTGAAGAGGGACCAGATGGATTCCAGATCTATTACCCCAAAATGGGCTGGGAATAGCAGGAATGGATCGGATGAAGGACTTTGTCCTCAGGGAGTCTGAGTTTGCTACAGCGAGGGGGCTGGAGATTGGTACCAAAAAAAGAGACTGCAGGAGGGCAGGGCTGCAAGTGAAACTCAGTAAGACAACAGAGAAAACAGCTTTGGACAAAGAGAGGGGAAAAAATCATGGTCAGGTCTTCCACACATGTAACTGCCCAGGAAATGACTGAGGAGCTGGTGAAGATGGGGACAGAAGTGGCCAGCTGGCCATCCAATGTCCTCAGGGTGATTTCCCCTCCTGCCCACCTGTGTGTGGCTGTGGGGGCCACCAAGAGAGGCTGAAAGGCTCCTCCAGCCCTCAGTAAAAAAGGTTTGGCTCAGGGCCACATGGCTGGGTTTGCAGGAAAGCAAAATACAGACTCCCATGGAAGGACATTCAGATCCAAGCCCCAAAATGCATGGCCTGAATGCAGAAGGAGAGCCCTGCTCCCAGCTAATTTTAAAGCACTTAATTAGGGGGGATATGAATTAAGTTCTAAGTTTTTTACAGCTTTTGGTGGAAAAAATTATTTATTACTTATAGGGTCAATTATGAGTCTCATCTACTGGTTGACTGAGGATCAGAAAGAAAATTCCCTCTCTACGCCACAAATTTTATGTCTCCCCGACATTGGACTGGAGGTGGCAGAGATCTGAGGAGAAAAAGTCTAATTCTGCCTCTCAGTGTACCAGGAGACACATCCAGGCTGCTGCACGGTTCTGCAGTTATCCCAAGATGAAATGGGATGGGACTTTCTACACTGGAATGTTCTTGGGGTTCTGCTCAGCCCTTGATGTTGAAACCACAATCTCAAGTGATTCAACCAAAATACAATTCCAAGGAAAACAAAGTGCTTAATTTTTAGTCTTCAAATAAAATTTGTCAGATTGATAAAATACATTCTGATCCAAAAAAATCAATTCAAGGTCAAAATTATGTGAAATTCCTAATTCAAGGTCAAAATTATGTGCAATTCCAGTATTTAATAATTAGCATACATAATCAGCATGCTAACAGCAGTAGGAATGATAATAAGTTTTACATTTTGATGAATGAACAAAATTATTACCAGTGACACATAACACTCAAAATTTTGTGTGATGCCTCCTGCTGTTTCTCCCTATAAAGAAATGACAAAAGCTGGTTTTAGCCTAATTATGAAAATAAAATATTGCTTTCATAGAGATATTTGTATATAATAACTCTGTATTCAAGCATTGCCTATTTAAATAAATAAATAAATAAATAAATCAAAAGGTACATTTTAAGATATATAAAAATACTTAACTATTATATTTTATTATATATTTATTTTTTGTATTAAACCTATATATTATATATCGGTTTAATATTAAAAATAAATAAATAAATAATCATAAAGGTACATTTTAATATCTATATATAAATACTTAAATGTAATGATAGGTTTAAAATCACTTTCATTATTTCCCACTAACTTCTCCTCAACATGAACAGTATAAAATCATTCTAACTTTTTCACTGTCCTGCTCTTAAGATAATCCAAGCCCCTTCTCAATCCAGAGTTTTTCTAGAAAAGATGCTACAGCAACAGGAACAATGACAGAATTTATATTAACATTTCCACATGTGCAAGAATTCACACAGGGGTTTCATACACATGAAGGAAGTTGATAAAGGAGAATTTATGGAAAAATTACACTTTTTTTTAAACGAAGTGTGTGCTGAAATTGCACAATAGTTGCATTGATATGACCCTGGTTTTGCATACAGGGTTTGCACTGCTGAAGTGTTGGAAATGTCTCCAGAGGTTCAGACCATTATGTAGTCAGGCTGGGCTGCCAAAACTCTGTTTCACAATGACTTACCAAATTCTGGGGGCCTAAGAGACAAAATCCAAAGCAAATTCAGATTTTCCCTGGACTGAATCTTGCTATAAACAAAGTGGGGTTACAAGTATTGGCAGGAACCACCAAGCAATGCAAAGCTTAAATTAATGAGGAGATTGTAGTGTGATAAAATGCTTGATCATATCTCCTGAATCTTACCCTGAGGCTGTTTCCAGGACAAAACCTGCAACATCTCCTCAGGATTTTGGTGCAATTGTCCTTAATGAGCAGCGTGGTCCATTCCCACTGTGTCACAGAAATTTGGTTGATTCTTTGGTCCTTTGGCAAAAAGAAATCTCATTCCTTTCCTCTTGCAGCAGAATGGGTTTAAGCACAGGGAGAATGAGCAGGGCTGCAGAAATTTTCCATTAGCTCTGATATTGGAAGTTTTGTGCCCTGCTGAACCCCTGGGCAGCCTCGCCTATCTCACAGCACCCAAACCCTGCAGGAAGGACACAGAAAATCCTTCCCCCATAAAACACTCAGCTGTTGTACCCTGGGAGCAGGCAACTCATCTTGGCCCCAAGATCCACTCTTTATATCCCCTGAGCTCAATGAAATGAGAAGGTTCATTGTATAAAACAGTGTTAAACACCATTTCTTTCCAACTACAGTTACAACAAAGATGAAAAGAAGGACTGCCAGCTCTTAGATAATTACCCAGTTATGAGCCTTCTGCCCCCTTTTAAACAGGAATTTAGCCATTATCAAAGGTCAGCTCTCAGGTTTTCCACAGAGAAGTTTGTAAAATGCCTATAAAGCCAAATTCTAGCTTGTGCTAAGTCTGTGTTTGGCAAATTTTATAAGAAACATTTTGAACAGTCCTGTACTGCTAGGTCCCAGATGATTTTCTTCTGGGACTAATGCAAAACAAAAAAAAATTTATTGGCTCTTAAAAATCCTTTTAGGACAGGTCATTCTTGCTGGTGCTTAGGCCTTTTATTGAGAGAAGATTAATTTAAATAATATATTAAATGTGGATTATGACTTTTCTGTCATATCACCCTTCCTTTATTAGAAAAGCCCCACAGTAACCTATAAGGAGATGGGTAAGTGCATTGCTGTATGACATGGAGAGGAACACCTCCAAACAAAAGATTATTACACCACCAGAAACATCATCAGAGTGAAACTGAGAGGCCAAAAGACACAGAATGAGTATTTATTTTCATGATATTGGGATGTCTAAACTCCCAAGCTGGCTTTAAAAACCTGAAGCCAGAGAGATCAGACAAGTAAAAGGCTTGTAACAAGGAGAGTTTGGGCAGCCTGCTCTGATCTGAGCTTCTCTGAAGTCTGCTGTTCAAATTAAGTTCCAATATTATGTTTTGGTTCATTCATAGGGGTTTTTTTTTGCATTGATTTACCCTTACATTTAATATATTGCAAATTGCTCATGTTTTGCAGCTCTCTGGTACACACAAGTCCTGTGTGTGTTGTTGTGTTGCTGTGGGTGTTGCCACGATGCAACAACAATTTTTAAATTTTTTTTTTTTCTTGAAACGTCCACTCAGTGAAATACAACCCAAATTGAAATGACTCTGAAATATGGCAATGCAGGCAGCATCCAGAGGGATAAATAATAGCTGCTCCCAAGGAGCTGGATAACCCTGCCTCTGCTGGAACTGCAGTGTAAACATCCTAAAAACTGGGAATTAATGACAGGGTATGGATCCAGAGCAGTGCATGTGACAGCAATCAGGAGAAACAGGGCTCACAGGAGCACAGAAAATGAAATAAGAAAGGGGCAGTGTTTAATGTTCAGTGGGCAGAACAAAGTGCTGTCAGAGCAGCCAGCTGCAGTGCCAAAGCCTTGGAAGCACAGCAGACACCAGCAGGGTTGTGTGGGCAGGAGAAACAGGAAAATCCATGGCATGGCCTGTGGATACACAGCGTGCTGAGAAAGCATTTTAAACATGCTTTCCATGCAAGGAGCGCTTATTGAAAATATTCTGCATATTTGCAGATGTGGAGTGAGCAGGTCTGGACCATGCCCAGCACCTCTGACCATGGAGTGCCCACAAACACAGAGAGGTTTGGAAACCTGGAGCTGTTCTGCTGACTGTGCCCTTCCTGAGCACCTCATTGTAAAAACCCAGTCTGCAATGAGCCCCCCATCCCCTTTCCTTCAAGCAGTGTAAATTCTGGCTGTGTGGCTGAGCAGTAATATTATTTCACCTTTTTATACAGCATTTTACGTGTTCCAGGCATTGAGAAGACATTGGTTTGGCTTGAAAGGGCTGCAGTGAAGTGGGTGGGTAATTATAATTCTTTTCAAAATGCTGGAAAACTGAAGAGAATTGTCCCCAGAGAGTATCCAAGCCAGAGTGAGGACTCAGGGCTGCAGGTAACATCCTTTGCTCATCCAGGAAAACCAGCTCTTGGACTGGGCAGGAGACAGGGAAGGAGAGGAAGGCAGAAGGGCTGAAATATTTTTCTAGATACAGCAATTTAAGGATAATTCTTCAGAGTTCTGATTTCTTTTTTCCTCTCATTATGACTCACACAAAGTAAATTACATGGTGAATTCTGCTACTATGCAGTTATGGGACTGTTTAGTATGTCTGGTTAAAGAAAATAAATCATAAATGTGTTTTGGACCTGGAATACCCTGGAAGCTATTGAGTTTACAAAGCTACCCCTTTATGTAAGTGGGGTCTGCCCACAGCTTGATGAATGTATTGCCAGATTGAACAGGAAAAAAATCTTTAGTGTGGCAAGAGCTATGAAGGTTCATATGACTTGTATTAAATTCAGATAATAACAATTTTTGGCTTGGTGGTGTTTGGAAAGAGAGTTTGAAACTCTCCTCAGAGACATTTCTTAGTTTAACTTTAAATATGAGCTATGACTGAGTCCTTTCAGAGGAAGAAAAAGAGTTTAAAACCTTTGCTAGAGCCTCTTGCCCCTTTCAAAGTCTAGTTCCTTTTAAAATTATATTTAGAGTTAAGAGGAGAGGTGAGAGCCAACAAGATACACATCTGCACAGAAATGCTCATCTCTCTGCGTTTCACACTCTATAAATATATACATTATAAATAAAGATTTGATTCTCAGTGTGTCTGTGGACAAGGCACTTCATGTTCACAGAATCACAGAATATTCTGAGCTGGAAGGGACCCTCCAGGATCCTTTCTGGAGTGAATTATTGATCCATAAATTGTCTTATTTACAGAGCCATTTGATGAGGCAAATTCCTGAGCACAGGTAAAGGAACCGCACTGCTGAAATTGGACATTTGCTCTTGCCCAGGCAATAAAAACCTTTAGAAATCCATAGCAAACACTAAAATCAGATTTGGAACAGTATCACTCCTCAGTCAGTTCACATGAACAATTTTCATTGCAGTGGTAGCAACACAAATATTTTTGCACAATTAAGGCCTGGCAGCTGAGAAAAGCACAGTGGGAAGGAAGAGCCAAACCAATGTGATGCCATAAACACGCTCCCACCACTCCAGCATCACTCAGAACAGCCCCCAGAAATTGTAATTTATGTTGGCAAGGACAACTTCAGCAAGACCAGAGATCAGAGATGTGCCATGAGCTTGATCACCCTCCCACCACTGATATTCTCTCTTTTCTCCACATTCAAAGCTGGTCTATCCAGGGATTTCCAGGTAAGGAAAACTTTCTTCCCTCCAGTTTGACAGCCTCAAAGCTGTTTTGTGGTAGAGGCAAGCAATTAAAATGCACCACTGGCACCAAAGTGCTCTCAGATCACAATGCCCATTGTAGCTACAAAGGGTTTAGTAACAGCGAGGAAAACAAATAACTCACAAAGCAGGACATTGTTTGCCCACAATCACATGGTTTTCCTGGTTTATATGCATGGAAATGCATAGTTTCCCTTGCTATGCTGCACCAGGCATTGCCAAAAATAATTTACAAGGAAGTAAATTCAAACAAGCCATGAATAAGAGAATAATTCCTTTCAAAACAAAGGCAATTGTGTTACAATTTATAAATGTGTATGTGGCGGGGGGATATTTTCTTATGCCATTGTTAAACAAACAACTTCCACTGCTGGTGTTTTAAATTGCTCAGTTAAAAACCCAGAACCAGTCCTACAAATCTGTGCATCTTTCTCCTCCACAACCCTTCCTCAAGGCCCAAATGGTACAGATGTGTTTCAGCAGCTGTCCTTGCCTCCTCTGCAGTGCAAGGGTGATGGGTGAGGATGTGTAAGAGTGCCCTATCACCAACTCAATAAAAATTACCTTCCAGGTCACTGAAATGTGCCTAAAAACCCT